TCTCCCCACGACTGGCTTGCCCTGCCCCAGGACACCTCCTGCCAAGCCTCACCACCTGGCTAGTGCGGGTGCAGGCCGAACACACGGGCCTACCACGCTTAAAGAAAGGGCACTGCTCGCTCTCTTTTTCTCCTCAAGGGCTCTGACGTAAGAAAGCAAGCCTCTTGTTACCCCTCCACACGTTCACCTTGGGACTGTTCCAACTTCCAGAAACAGCGGGGGTGGGTGGGGTGCGTGAGGAAGATTCCCGCCCCCTTCCACCGACATAAGGGAACCCCCTACGCTGTTGAAAGTCTTTGCAGGCGGGAAGAAACAGGAGTGGTCAGAAAAGATTCAGAACCAAGAACGTGAAGCGCTTGTAATCATTTACAAAAAGTCTCAAATACCCCCCACCACCATAATGGTTTGTCCCACTCCGTGGGCCTGCCCTTCCTAGAGGTGGAATATTCTAGAACCGGAAACAGCCCCCATTCCTCAGTGGCCTCCGCTACCCTGTGGAGGAAGAAGGTGGAGCCAGAGTACAGCCTCATCCCCATCACCCTAAGTGGTAATAAATCCTGGCCATATCCCTCCCAAAAACGTGTCTTGAATTTCTCTGCCTCCAGCCCTTCCCCCCCTCCCCCCCCCCGGGCAATTTATTCCCTGGACCACTGCAGCCCTCTGACCCCAGGTTTGTTTCCTGCCCTACCCTGGCATCAGAGGGATCTGACCATTTCTCTTTAAACTTCTAATGGTTTTTCCAGGCCTAGAGGATAAACCAGACAGCCCTCAGGTTGAGTACTACTTTGCCACTTACTGTACGACCTTGTGCTATAATTAAATTTCAGTTTTTACCTATGGGCCTAAGATGAGGACTGAATGGCAAAGAGCATGTAAAGTAGTAATGTTTTCTATGGTTCTGTTTTTGTAAAATGTACAAATCCTGTGTGTGTGTTTGCATATGTTTCTATGATCTTGGAGAGAGGAGTGAGAGCATACACATCAGACTCTCAACGCTGGGGACCTCTGGGGGGGTGGAGTTGGAGGGGAAGTTGGGAAAAATGTTTTCGTCTTTCAAAATAAATCTTTCTGTGATTTCACTTGTTACAGAGAACATATGCTATATGTATGCATGCATTAAAAATCTGGAAAATTATATACCAAAATTTTAACAGTGGTTATCTTTGGGTGGTAGGAATACAGAACTTTCTCAAAAAAACTTTATTTTTTTTATTTTTTTTTTTTGTGGTACGCGGGCCTCTCACTGTCGCGGCCTCTCCCGCTGCGGAGCACAGGCTCCGGACGTGCAGGCCCAGCGGCCATGGCTCACGGGCGCAGCCGCTCTGCAGCATGTGGGATCTTCCCGGACTGGGGCACGAACCCGTGTCCCCTGCATCGGCAGGTGGACTCCCAACCACTGCGCCACCAGAGAAGCCCTAAAAAACTTTATTTTTTATATTTTTCTCTATTGTAAAAATTATTTATAGTAAACGTGTATTATGTTTTTTAGATTTTTAAGATATTTTTTTTCCTGATAACTTCTGATCACTGTAAACAATTTCTAAATATCTAGAAAGTAAATGTCTCCCTGTAATCCAGCCCTTCCCTTCAACCTGGAAGATAACCATTGTTAGCAGTTTGATATATGTCTTCCAGTGTTTTATAGTAGGCCATAGCAAATAATTGGCAGTTTCTCAAATGAAGCATCCCATTTCTTGCCTCCTGGCTTTCACTCAGGCTGCTGCATGAGTGGATTGTCCCTCAGCGCCTCCTGCTCTCCCCACTCCCATTCTCCTCATCCATCTAAGTCCTGTTCAATTTTTATTACCCTTTCAGAACAACACTCAAGTAGTGGTTCTTCTTACAAATATTTCTTGATCCGCTAAACCCCACCTCAAGCTAGGCTGAATTGTGCCACCTTTCTGTGTCCCCATGATACTTTGTGCATACCACTTGCACTACTTTTCACACTGTATTATAATCTATGATTTTCTAATTATTTCCCCATTAACTGGGCATTCCTTGAGGGCAGGGTCTGGATCTTAATTATTTCTGTGTTTTCAGCATCTAGCACAGTGGTAAGCATCTGATAAATTAATTATTGAATGAATTTAAATAATTCATTACATCGGTAAGGGACAAACGGGTACCTTTAAAGAGAGTTCTATTTTCTTCTCTGAAATGCCTTTTTCTCCACACAGACTGATTTTCTGCCACCTCACAGCTTCTTATGGCAGAGACCTCGCCTTAGTATTTGAAACCAACCAATATCTGACAGATTTGGAATTTGTGAAAAATACCCTGGAAGATTCCGGAATGAAGCTTCTGTGTGAAGGATTAAAACAGCCAAACTGTATCTTACAGACATTGAGGTAACTGAGCAGGAGAATTTGTTGTCTGTGTTCATGTAATTTTTTTGTCAATTTCTTTTGTTTTGGGGGAGAGCATGAATAAGGTAATGAGGTCATTCTTCTGTTCTCTGAAGGTTGTACCGATGCCTTATCTCTCCTGCTTCTTGTGGTGCGCTAGCAGCTGTTCTTAGCACCAATCAGTGGCTCACTGAGCTGGAATTTAGTGAAACAAAACTGGAAGCTTCAGCTTTGAAATTGCTCTGTGAAGGCTTAAAAGATCCAAATTGCAAAGTACAGAAGCTCAAGTAAGTTGTCACTATTAGTTTCCATACTGCAAGAAAAAAGTTAAAAATAATGCAGCTCAAGATGGATGTTGTATGATCAAAACACATTTCAAGGAGTCGTGGAGAGGAAGAATAAAAGTGGCAATAACGTTAATGACAATAATGAAAACCCACACTTACTGAGCAATTACTTTGTGCTAAGCATTCTGCTGAGTGCTTTGTATACATGATTTCCTTTAATGCGCACAACAGCTCTGAGAGGTTCAGGTTACTATCCCCATTTTAGCAGATGAGGAAACAGAAACCCAAGTTCAAAAGGCTAAATAACATGGCAAAGGCACAAGTAGAAACCCAGATGTGTCTGACTTCAAAGTCCATGTAGTGACCATAATAAAAAATTTACCATATATGTATTAGTCAGGTTTCTCCGGAGAAACAGAACCAAAAAGATGTGTATAAAGATATAGAGAGATTTATTTTAAGGAATTGGCTCACGTGGATTATGGCAGCTGTCAAGTACAGTATCTGCAGGGAAGGCCAGCAGACTGGAGACACAGGGAACAGCCAGTGTTGCAGTTCAAGTCAAAAGGCAGTCCTCTGGCAGAATTCCATCTTCCTGGGAGGTCGGTCTTTCTCTGTTAAACTTTCAACTGATCGGATGAGGCTCACCCACATTATGGAGGGTAGTTTACTTTACTCAAAGTGTACTGATTTAAGTGTTAATTTCATCTAAAAAGTACCTTCACAGAAACATCTAGAATAATGTTTGACCAAATATCTGGTACCATGACCTAGCCAACTACTTGACACATAAAATTAACAATCACAACATATATGTGTGGTTTTCTAAAGTAAAAGCTCTTTAGCATTAAAGCTTTCTAAATCCACTTTGAAACTCATTTTTTTGGCAAAATACCTCTATTTAAAATTTCCAAGTTGGGGAAATACAGATATGTGATGTCCTTATGAGCCCTCTTCAAGACTGAGTTTGGAGCCTCGTAGCTCAAGAGAAAATTCAAGACTCAGAGGTTGTAATGTATATCATAGAAATTCTTGAAAGTGATGGAAGAGAAAGTTGATGGGAAATAGTTCAGGGAATTGGACTACCTAATATGGAGAAACAAAGATTGAGAAGACGGGAAGGTCAGTAAAAACCACTCTTTGTGCCAAAGAAGAAATGTTATATGGATGATGGTGATGAGCTGGGTCTCTCTAAGGATGGCAAATTAATTAGTAATGAACTTATAGATAAAGGAAAAGGAAAGGAAAGATCTTTTGACTGTAAACTGTATTAAGGATGATTATAGCATTTTCCCCTGTGATTCGAAAGAAGATATGAGATAGAGTGCTAAAATCCATGCAGGGAATTAAAATGAGATTAGGTCGTGTTGATATTTCCTCCCAATTCTTTTCTTTTGGGGGGCAGTCAACATGTTTTGAGTTCTCATTGGGGGACACAGTGTTGTGGGAGCAACGTACAAGTCCTTCTCATGAGTAAAAGGGGGTTGTGACATATTCAGGGTTGGGGGGGTCTCGTATGGGTGAGCCTGTATTTTCTTTGCTCATGATATTTTGCAGGTAGGGAGTAGGATGATAAAGTGGCCAATTCTGTGTCTGTTCATCTTTCTTTCTCTCCAGGTTGTGTGCAAGCTTTCTCCCTGGAAGCTCAGAGACTATTTGCAGATATCTTGCCTCTGTTCTCATTTGCAATCCAAACCTCACTGAGCTGGACCTGAGTGAAAATCCCCTGGGGGACACAGGGGTGAAGTATCTTTGTGAGGGTCTCAGACATTCCAACTGTAAAGTAGAGAAACTAGAGTAAGTTTTTTACAACTATCTGGCATCATCTTATAACTGTTGAACTTGTTAAATGCCTGCTGTGTGCCAGGATCTATGCTTGGTGCTTGCCAGAAGTTATTTCACGTAATTCACTCCTTGAAATAACTATATAGGGTGGGTTTTCTTACCCCATTGTACAGATGAGGAAACTTTGAGGATTGGGGGGGAAAGTGACTTGTCCAAGGTCACACCATTAAAAAGTGGTATAGTCAGGATGTGACTCCAAAATCTATCTCCATACCCCATGCTCTTTCCAGTATACTACCATCCTGTGTGTTTACGGGAGTCATGCTAATTAAATATTAACTCTGTAAAGAATACTACTATGTACCCAACACTGGGCTGGATGTGGATGGGGTTATCAGAAGGACTACAAGTGACAGGGCTGCCCTTAAAGACACACAGATATGAAACAGTTAGAGAGCAACACAGTTCAACATGTAATCAAGTGCCGAACACTGTAGAATCATTTAGAAATGCCAGATGAGCCCAGGGAAAGGGAGGAGGTCACTGTGGGCTGGCGACCTCAGGAGGAGGCTCTGTGTAAGTGGTGGGCCAGGAGCTGGAACTTGAAGGATGGCTAGGACTTAGCTAAATGGGGAGGCTGGGAGAACATTCCCGGGAAGCTAAATGACAGCAGTGGCTGATTTTTCTTCTTTGTCTCTGGGTAGCTTGAGCACATGTTACCTAACAGATGCTAGCTGTGTGGAGCTCTCTTCTTTCTTGCAAGTGAGTCAGACTTTAAAAGAGCTGTTTGTGTTTGCCAATGCCCTGGGGGACACTGGAGTACAGCATCTCTGTGAAGGTCTGCGGCATGCAAATGGTATAATCGAGAATCTTGTGTAAGTGTCTGCTTGTCCTTGTCCTTCTCGTGGGCACTGGCATTTGAGGTTCAGTGGGACTCCCTGCTGCCATGGTTAACAGCCACCTTGATGTCCCTATCCCTCCAGGCTTTCCGAATGTTCCCTCTCTGCAGCTTGTTGTGAGTCCCTCGCCCAAGTCCTGAGCTCTACCCGGAGCCTGACAAGGCTGCTTCTCATTAATAACAAAATTGAAGATTTGGGACTGAAATTGCTGTGTAAAGGATTAAAACAGCCTGACTGTCAGTTAAAGGATCTGGCGTAAGTATCGTGGACAATAGCCACAGGCAGAGTTCCTTGATGTTTCAGCAACTCCCGAAATTAAGTGATTTTTTTCTGGCCTCGTGATATAATCTGAGGAAACAATACATGAAGACCCAGATAATTTAGGGGGAATAAATCTTCCCCGCTCCATAATCTCTGGCCCTGGCCCAGGGGATATTTTTTACATGACACTTTACATGGTACGCGGGCCTCTCACTGTTGTGGCCTCTCCCGTTGCGGAGCACAAGCTCCGGACGCACAGGCTCTGCGGCCATGGCTCACGGGCCCAGCCGCCCCGTGGCATGTGGGATCCTCCCAGACCAGGGCACGAACCCGTGTCCTCTGCATCAGCAGGCGGACTCTCAACCACTGCGCCACCAGGGAAGCCCTCTTTTCTTTTTAAAATAAATTTATTTACTTATTTATTTATTTATTTTTGGCTGCTTTGGGACTTCGTTGCTGCACGGGCTTTCTCCAGTGGTGGCGAGTGGGGGCTACTCTTGGTTGTGGTGCACAGGCTTCTCATTGCAGTGGCTTCTCTTGTTGTGGAGCACGGGCTCTAGGCATGCGGGCTTCAGTAGTTGCGGCCTGCAGGCTCAGTAGTTGTAGCTCACGGGATCTAGAGCACAGGCTCAGTAGTTGTGGCGCACAGGCCTAGTTGCTCCGCGGCATGTGGGATCCTCCTGGACCAGGGCTCGAACCCTTCTCCCCTGCATTGGCTGGCGTATTCTTAACCACTGCACCACCAGGGAAGTCCGCCACTCTGATTTTCTAATGTGTTTTTCTAGTGGGTAATCCTGATACCTAACGTGACCCAATGCAGATGAAATGATGCCAACCTTATCTACCTTACTTCTGGCAGACTGTGGACCTGTCATCTGACTGGAGAGTGTTGTCAGGATTTGTGCAATGCACTGTACACCAATGAACACCTACGAGTTCTTGACCTCAGTGACAATGCCTTAGGGGACGAGGGCATGCAGGTGCTGTGTGAAGGGCTAAAACACCCCTCCTGTAAGCTACAGACCTTGTGGTAAGTGCACAGAGACTCTTTGTACCCTGGGCTCTTGTTCCAGGCTGTATATAAAATGGAGGGTCACTGTGGAACTTGGTAAAACCGGTTTCTTTCTTGAATCCCCAATCCCCCATAGGCTAGCAGAATGTCATCTCACAGATGCATGCTGTGGAGCCCTCGCCTCTGTCCTCAACAGAAATGAGAACCTAACGTTGCTAGACTTAAGTGGAAATGACCTTAAGGATTTCGGAGTTCAAATGCTGTGTGATGCACTGATTCATCCAATATGTAAACTACAGACGTTCTAGTAAGTTACTGTGGTGGGGGAAGTGGGAGAGAGGGGGTCAGGAGAGGCACGTTGTGTTTGATCATAGTCATTGCAGTGAGAAAAGAGAAGAAAAACTGAGGGATGGCCATGCCTAGGCAAAATATCAAAGTAAGTGAAATTACCAGTAGGCCTCTTCCTTGGACACAGGGACAAGGAGAGAGGTAGGGAACAGGTAGTGCTGGATCCCATTGCTAAGAAAAGCAACAGGGTGTAGGAAGAAGAGCATCAGATCCACATTCTGCTAGGTCTTGCTTAAATATTAGGTCTAGCATCTACTAGCTATATGACCATGCTTACTTACTTAACCTCCCTGAACTTGAGTATCCTTGTCTATAAAATGGGGCTGACATGAGTAGTACCTGACTACCTGGTGTTAGCATGGGGATTGCATGAAGTGAGACGTTAATTATGAATGTGCAGCCCCTGGCACATAGGAGGTACTCCATAAATGTTAGACCCTTTCCCTTTCTTCTTCTAATACCTGCCAGAGGGCTTGATGTTTACACTTTGAGAGTCTTCAAGACTCAGGGGGATGAAGCTGTTACAGAATTACAGTTACAGGAAGTGGAGGTCTTCACCCTTTCGGGTCAGTGTTCATCTGCCAGCTCAGCAGGCTGGCATAACACACAAAGTAATTCTTAATTAGGATATAGCTATGCTCTGTTGGCAGCTAACCAGTGGCCAAATGGCCATTTATGTGTGGCATTCAGAACTGGAACACATAATGGAAAATAAAGGCTGAGTGCAAAAATTCCACATTCCAAAGCCAATTTGATGGATTGAAGCGTAAATGAAAACAGCATAAAGGCCTGATTACAAGTCTGGCTGAAACAGAAGCTGGTTCTCTACTAGCAAAGTGAAGTCTGTTAGACTCGAGACTGTGGCAATTACTGCCCAGGAAGAGGGAATTATTCACAACATAATAAGCCTCAGGGGTTTAGGGACCTCCCTGGTGTCTTTCTCAGAAAAGGGTGACTGGAGTCTGTATTTTCAGTAGGTTGAAATAAACTCAACAATCAATCCTAATGTTTCTTTAAATATAGGGTAATTTAATGTGGTAGCACCCTATGGTGTGTAAGCTTCAGCAAAGGTCCTAAACGACATCACAGAGACATTATTTTGTGATGCCATTATTTATTTTTTATTGTAAATTGTTGCACCGTTTCCTGTTTCTCTCACCCTTTGTCTTTTAACCAATGTGCTTCCATTGTGTTTTCAGGCCAACCTTCAAACCCTTGTAATTTGTCAATCTACAAGTTGATAGCAGTGTGCAATAGTGGCTCAAAATACAAAATAAAGGACACACGCACACACAGAGTAGACACCATTCACTGACCTCAAATAAATTTTGAACATTATATAAGACAGATAACACTGAAATCAATAGAAATATATACTTGCCCAAGTAAAGTGAGAGGAAACTGTTGATCATTTAATGTGGTGGTGGGCTAGAGAGGGGATAAATCCAGGAGAGCCTCCTAAAAGGGGAGTCTTGTCTGAGAATCGGAAAGGCTGAAGGAAGAAGGTTGTTTTCTAAGAGCTGCTTCAGTATGAGGTCTGAATCTTATTCCTCGTTGTATTTTCCCCATAAACTTTCTAGTTCAGTGCTTTGCGTTTAGTAAACGCATATAGGAAACCAGTTACTAATTTAGAGCATCTGGGGGCAAGGCAAGGAGACAGTTGATGATATGTTCAATAAAGACTAGGTATCTAGACCTTCAGAAGATTGAGGGGAAAAAAAGAGGTTGTGGCCTCAGAGTGACAAGTGCTCACCTTCACTCATTCTACAAGCACTTGCTGAATATCTGCTATGTGCTAAGCAGATGTGCCAGGTGCTGGCAGACAAAAATGAGTAAGATGAGAGACATGATTCGTACTCTTTAGGGACCAGTGAACCTAGTGGTAGAGACAGGCACATAAACTTATGAATGCAGTAGGGTAATCATGAAATCTTAAGGGAACCACGGCAGGAGACAACTCACCCAGCCCAGGAGGCTTGGGGAAAGATTCCTGGAGGAAGGGCCACCTGAGTTGAGTCTCGGGACTATAGCCAGGGAAATGGGGCTAAGGATGGAGAAGGGTAGTCCATGCTCAGGAGATAGCATGAGCAAAGGCAGACAGACAATAAGCAGCATGTTTTGTGGTACTTGAGGGGGATAGAGGTGGGAAACCTCTAGGGAGTTCGCTATTGTTAGAGCATAAAGTGCAAAGCAGAATGTGTCAAGAAATGAGACTGAGGGGGTAGGCAAGGCCTTGTATGCCATGTGTGGTTAGTAAGATCTGTTTGCAGAATTCCGGGTTCGAATTCAGTTGTCACTCTTTTCTTTCACATATCTAAGTAGTAGTACATTTGGGGGCCTTTCCTCACCTTTCCAAAACTGGTTCCAAAGATGGAGCCAGTTTTGCTTCCAAAGCTGGTTGGAGAATCAGACCACTGCTACTGCTGTTTCTTACTGCCACATGGGGCTCATCTTGAGAACTGATGATCCTACCCAGTCCCACAGAAGCTTGGTGACTGGATGGTGATACCCTGGCTGGTGTGGATCTCTCCCAGCCCTGCAGTGCCGTTATACTTGGACTCCGAGGTTACATATATTTTAGTCCACACCCAAATGTGCAGTCATTGTTCTCTAAAGTACCATATGTGTCAGAGTGTCTGGGTCTAGAAGAGCTCTTTGAATCAGCCACAGGTATGTATGCGTGAAGCCAGTCCTTGCCCACAAAGATGTAGGCCCCTGAGTTGAGTCAGGAGCCCCACTTAAGCCTTCTTCTTTCTTCAAGATATTTTATTTTTGGTGCCTTGGTGCCTTTCCCAGGCACTGGGTCTTGGATAAAGCCCCCTAGATCACCCTGACACATGTTCCTAATTCTAAATTTGGAAAGAAGGGGTTGAGAGTAGGTGGTCTCTTAACTCCCAGAAGACCTCCAGGCTTCCTAAGCATATTGACCTGCCTCTTCTCCAGCAGTGAGTTATACATGTCAGGAGGTAAAGACAGCTTTTGCTCTGTCACTCAAAAAATTCTAAAGTTCTTGTTACACTTCCATGGCATTAAATGTCTACTTACCCTACAATTGCATAACTAGCAGGGCTACTCATTTCACTTTGCTAGATAAAGATTAGCTTCTATCTATTAAAAACTAAAAACTGTACCTCACTACACACTTGAAAGAGTTTATACCTTCTTTTGTAGTCAATAGGTTTTAATCAGGGATACACATGTGGAGTTTGAAGTGCCTGCAGGACATTGTGGGAAGTTTTCTAGTAGGTAACAGTTGGATATAGGAGTGTTCCCTGGAGGTGATAGCTGAAGCCATGGCAATGGATGAGATCCTCTAGGGAGAATGAGAAGAGAAGAACCTCTGAGGAACATCTCTTGGGAATTAGCCCTGGGCAGTACCAACTTTTAAGAGGTGGGTATGGAAAGGAAAACCCATGGAGAAAACCAAGAGAGAAAGGTGTCCTGGAAGCTATGGAAGAAGTGAGTTTCAAGGAGGAATTGCTCAACAGTGTCAAATGCAGCAGAGATTTCCAAAATGATGAGTACTGCAAAGTGTCCTTTGGATTTACCAATTAGGAGGCCATAGGTGACCTTGTCAGGGGCTGTTTAGTGGTGTGATGGGGCTGGAAACCAGCTTGCAGTGACTTGACAAGATGGAAGATAAAGAAGCAGAGAAGGAGTGGAGACTACTTTTTCAAGACTTTTGTGAAAAGGAGAAGAAATGTGGAGTTGTAGGCTGGGGAGGGATTGTTCGTTTTCTTTTTTGTCTTGTTTTTTTAGGATAGGCAAATTTATAAGCTGAGAGAAAGGAGCCCATAGAGAGGGAGAGGTTATAGATACAGAATCGGGAACAGATGGACTCATGGAGCAGGGCCTTGCACAATTGCAGGGAGGGATAGGAGTGAGAGTTCAAGAGGAAGTTAAGCATGTTCTCTTTTGAGATCCGAGGAAGGGAGTTAAGGCTGAGGGAGAAGGTAGATACTGGAGTGGATGAAGTAACTGAGTGGTGGTGTGGTGCAAGTGTGAATAGGAATCTTACCCTTAAGAACAGGAAAGAAAGGTACTGAAGGCGTCTGTTGGCTTGACTTGACACAAGATTCTTTTCATTTTTCATAGCATTGACACGGATCATTTACATGAAGAAACATTCAGAAAAATAGAAGCTTTAAAAATGAGCAAGCCTGGAATCACCTGGTAGTTTCCAAGGAGAGCCCCTGAATCAGCTGCATATAGACCTCCTCTGTCTGGCACCATCTCTAACAGTTGTGCAGTATTCTTGTTCTAAACCTGTTAACCTTTGCTGAGGATGCTAGTGTGAAACAAGCAGCAGTGATTGCTATTTCTTACATAGACTCATCCACTAAATAGGATGTAAAAGGTGGAAGCACCTTAGTTGAAATGTCTTCAGCAATAATACCTTACATTCTTATATTGTGTTACAATGTTTACTGTGTTTTTACAAAAACCTTCCAAGGTCGGAAGATGAGGCTCAGAGAGGTTGTGACAAGCTCCAAGTCACACAGCTCAGTGGGAGAGTTGGGACTAGCATCCAGCCAGGTTTCTCAATACTCAGACAGGGCAGGGAAACAATAGAAAAAAAGACATGTGAAGGAGTCCACTTAAAGACACAAGATACCTGAAATAATTAAAAGAACAAGAGGGTGGACAAACACATGTTATATATTATGGTGCTGATCTTAAGTAAAACTGTAATTCACAAAAGAAAGTGAGAGGAATGAGTTGGGTTAATAGGTAAAGGCTTCATCGAGGTGAGACTTAATGTGGGCATTGAGAATGAATAGGATTAAGATGCGGGGAGATATACTGGCCAGTGGCTATAAGACTGCAGGTAAAAGGGCTACGTTTGTGAGCAGCTCACCAGAAGCACCTAGGGAGAGAGAAATACTTGCATTAGAGTTTCTTGAGCTGCCACAATATTCATATCCTAGGATCCTGAGGGTGCTCTCCAGTTCCCAGGCTCCACTCCCTTTCTGAACTTTTAATACCTCCCCCATGTGTTTGTTCTTGTTCATGGACTCTTATGACTGACTCACTACTCATCCCTCACAGCGTATTCCATAGCCTAGCATGGATCCTGCACAACCCCATGTTTCTATCTCTGCCTGGCTTCCACAAAACACTAGATGAGACAAGTGGAGAAAGGGAGTGCCAGGCAAGGAAAATAGCACAGAGCCTGTGGGACCGACAGAAAAGTAGGCTGACCTGATTAAGGTGTAGAGCTGTCTCTGGAAGCTACTTACTAGCTGTGTGACCCTGAATAAGTCACTTGGATTCTTGGAGCCTCAGTTTTCTAATCTATAAAATGGGGGTAAATTGACATTAACCTTGCAGGGCTGCTGTTCCCAGCATGGTGCCTATCCCACAGTAGGTACTGATTAATGGTAGCTGTATGTATGAGTGTGTTTATAGTTGAGCCGTGTAGTCTTTGAGCCCCCAGACTGTGTAGTCAGTGTGAACTGTGCATTTGAACTAAATGTGTGTGCTGGAGGTGGTGAATCTAGTCGGGAAGAGACACACAGTGGAAAGTTTTTGCAGGCGAGAGGTCCAGCTCTCCATGTCCTCATCTATCATCAGGTATTGTTCCCTGCTGCCCTGGGAGGTGGTAACTCTCAGTTAGAGACCCGGTTTGGCCTGAGAAGAATGGTCAAGGTAGCAATTTGTTTCCAGTTTTCTCAAGTTCTTCTTTCCCTTTAGTTATTTAACACTTATTTATTGAGGATTTATTATGTGCCAGGTTTTGTGCTAAGTGTTGGCTTTACAGAGGTGAATATACCTTTTTCTGTGCACTTTCCTTACTATGTTCTCTGACTGCCCTGGTCCCTCTGTCAGTCTGGTGAACATCTGATAAAATTCAGTCACGTTAAGGACTCAAAGATACAACGTTAAATGAAAAATTGCAGAACCCTGCGTGTGTGTCCTGTTTGTGTACAAAAGGGTAAATATGCATGTGTATGTATGTGTCCAGAGTATGTAAGGAAGGATATATACAAGAAATTGCTAACAGAAGTTACCTCTGGCAAGAGGAAGTTGGCAAGCAGGGGCACTGGGAGAACACGAAAGGAACTTTTCATTTTCATCTATAGTCTTCTGTTTTACTTGATTTTTACCATGTGCATGTGTTACTTTTATAATTAATAAACTTGATGTTAAAAATAAAACTTATTCATACTGAGGGGTTATTTTTCTTCTTTTAAAACATGACAATTTAGAAGAAAATACAGGGCAGTCATACACGACATAAAAACCCAAAGGAAGAGAAAGATCTGACAACATCAAAATTAAAAATTTCTTTATGAAAAAAATTCACCATAAATAAAATTAAACGAATATCGATAAACTGGAGGAACATATTTGTCACATGTATAAAGACAAGACTAATGTCCATATATATAATAACAAATGTCCAAATGTAAATAACAAGTCAGTATGAAAAACAAAACATAGAGGACTTCTACTTCCAGCAATAATGAAGTAACAGTGAGTGGATTTACCCTCTCACATGAACGACTCGAAAAATGGTCAAAATATGGGAAACAGCAGTTTCCAGACGTTGGATAACAGGCAGAGTTGGGACAAAAAATGGCAAGATGGTAGTTTTGAACAGAACTGTATCAGTAGTCATATTAAAGTCAATGGTCTCACAGCAACCCAATTAAAAGGCTGAGATGGGTAGAATGGAAAAAAATATTTTTTAAAGACTCAACCATATGCTGCTTATAGATAATCCATTTTAAATATTAAAAAAATAGGTGAAACATAAAAGATGGGGAAAGATATACTGTGTTAACATTATTTTTAAAAAAGCTAGAGTGACTATATTATTATCAGAGAACGTACACTGCAAAGGAAAGAATATTAACAGAGGTAAAGAGGACCATTTCATAATGTGGCTAATTAATCATGAGGACATAACAATCCTAAAGATATGTGCATTTTAGTAACATTCAAAAGACATGAAGAAAAAAATGAGAAATAGACAAATCCATAATTTTAGTCAGAGACTTAAATATCTTTCTCAATAATGGATAGACCAAAAAGAAAATAAGAATATGGAAATTTTGAATAACACAAATAATATATTTGACCTAATTGACATCTATACAACACTCGACTGAATAACAACAGAAAACATTCTTTACAAGCGCACATTGAATATTTATCATGATAGACCATATCTGGATCGTGTAACAAGTCTCAATATTAAGTTAAAGGATGCCAGTCATACAAAGTGTGTTCTCTGACCACAATGGAGTTAAATTAAAAATCAGTAAAAGAAAAATACATGGAAAATCCTCCAAATATTTGGAAAGAATTACACACTTCTAAATAATCCATGGCTTAAGAGTAAGTCTCAAGGGAAATTTGAAAGTATTTTAAACAGAATGAAAGTGAAAACATGAGACATATTTTAGAAAAGAAAGGTCTTAAATCAATGACTTCAGGTTACATAATAAAAAACTAGAAAAAGATGAAATTTAATCCAAAGTAAGCAGAAAAAAGGAAATAAAGATAAGAGCATAATATATATTATATGATTCCATTTTTAGAAAATTCTAGAAAATTCAAAGTATTCTTTAGTGACAGCAGATTAGTGGTTGCCTAGTGACAGTTGAGGAAAGGAAGGGATACATTATAAAGGTGCACAAGAAAACATTTGGGTGTGTTGGATATGCTCATTATCTTGTTTGTGGTGATTATTTCAGTCAAAGCTCATCAAATTGTACTCTGAAAATATATCTAGCTTATTGTATGTGAATTGTACCTCAACAGAGCTGTAAACACATACACACACAGTCACACACAAACATGTCTGAAAGAGTCATTTAAGAACACCAGTTGGCTAAGCCCCATATTCTGCAGATAAGGAGCCTGGGATCCAAAGAAGTCAAGGTCACACAGCCAATTCATGATAAGACTGAGATTAGAACTTGTGTCCTTATTCCTGGTCTTGCTCATCTTAGCATACTAAAGGCAGAGCTCAGATCAAAGGAATAAATTGCAAATGGTTGGTCTTCAGTATTTTGTGGCATACCAGTGGGAAGGAGACATGTGAGTGATGAAAAGGGGTGATTTCCCAGGGTTTGTTCAGTCATGTGCCGGAACTGGCTCATATTGACTGGTGAAAGTTGATGGTTACATTTTCAGGAATTTCGCAATCAGTTGTTAAAGCCATCATTAAAAAATCACATGATATAAACTTTCAATTACATAAATTTTATTAAAGATAATATTCTAGACTCATGACTTCCTACTAATTTTTATCACATTTTACTATCATCTGTGCTCTTGAGGTAATTCACATCTGTTGTATTTGTGTAGTGGAAATGTTAAATAATGGTCTTTTACTCTGCATCTCTTCAGTAGCTTGAAAATGGCCATAATGGGAGTGTTTACAACACAGAAATGGGCAAATGCTACAAATTAGGGATCCCCCTCCTCCCCCTCCCCAGGAGAGCTGGTTGTTAAAACTTTACCAGCACATTTTTGCCTTAGAGCATCACTTTCCCTGCCATTCATTTAAGGCTGGCCTGGAAGGCAACCCATCAGTACCTAAAGTCATGCTAGATAAACAGTGGGCAGTCCATAAATGTTTGAGGGTAACTAACCATCCCAGTTTATTCAGGACTCTTGATTCCTGAACATCCCAGGAAACTCCTCAGTCCTGGGAAAGCCAGAATAGTTGATCACCCTAGTGTTGGTACACTTTTTTTTTTTTTTTTTTTTAAAAAGGGGCCAGGTGGGTAAACCAATTGAAAGCTCTCTCCATTCTTGGGAAAGTAGCTTCAATATATCCCTTTCTGTGAGCTAACTAGTGGCACATTTGTGCATAAAGCTCCACACTTTACACAGTCTCAGTAGTAGCCAGGAGGAAAGATAGGACCTTACATGTGATAGGTGTTCAGAGATGTCCACTGGTGGTAGATGATTGCAGCGAGGCAGGCCTGTAATGGGAATGGAGGCCCAAGGATGGTAGAAAGCTGGAGTCGTCTACCAGCTGGTGGCAAATGCAGGTGGCAACAGACTCTGGATCTGAGGCAAGCAGGGGTTGGGGAAGCCTCGAAAGAAAAAGGATCACAAAAGGTAGTGTCAATGAGAGTGATAATGAGTGTGAATACAAAAGGGGGTGGCTGCAACTTTGAGGTGTTTATTGTGGTTAGCACTCTGAGGGCATCAAAG